TAACTACCTATGTAATCTACATATGGGGTACTCATATCAATACGAGGTGTCATTAAAAAGACAACGGGGACAGGCCTAGGGCTGCAAACGAGGTAAGTGAGGATCCCCGGGGGTGATGACAACGGGGTGGGAAACGGCATGGGCGCTCTCGCGTGCAAACAATATACATGGTATGGGCGCCGCATTCGCGAAGTGATCCTGGGGCTGCAAGTAAGAGGGGGGGTGATGACGACGGGGTGGGAAACGGCATGGGCGCTGTTGCGTGCAAACAATATACGTGGTATGGGCGCCGCATTCGCGCCGTAATCCTGGGGCTGCAAACGAGGTAAGCGAGAGGGGGGTGATGACGACGGGGTGGGCACTCACCATTTGACAGTGCCCATGCCACGGCATGGGCGCTGTCGCGTGCAAACGACGTATGTGGTGTGGGTGCCGCATTCGTGTGGTATCCAGTGTGTGCCGTGATCCTGGGGCTGCAAACGAGGTAAGCAAGAGGGTGGGCACTCACCATTTGACAGCGCCCATGCCGTGGCATGGGCGCTGTCGCGTGCAAATGATGTACGTGGTGTGGGTGCCGCATTCATGTGGTATCCAATGTGTGGACTGGTAGCTACCACTTACATCATGTACTCCTGAGCTGTACCATAGAAGTTCCTGCTTAGCTACCGTGAATGAAATGAAATGAATTTTCATTCATTCACGGCACCTGTTTCATTCTAGATAATTTATTCTGTTTCATTCATTCCTGGCGACTGTTTCATTTTTTTCTTTCATTCCACCAGGGCAACTGTTTCATTCCTTGCTTCATTCTTCTCAGGTGCCTATTTCATTGTTAGAGCTGGGAAAATGATTATGTAATTGATACAAAATATTTAAGTGCCTTATTTGGCAACAGCATGCCTATCTCATTGTGTATTTGAGCCTCAAATGCAAAAGTACCCCCATATGGCCTCCCACACCACTGCAGTAGGGCACAACACATATCAGGCATAATTGTATATTATTTCCTTATTTAGATGTGTGTTAAAACATCGAAATTGTTGCCTGAAAGAATGAAACAAAAATGAAATAACTGCCTGGAAAGAATGAAATGAAAATTCCATGGCAATGAATGAATGAAAAAAATGAAACAGTTGCCAGGAATGAATGAAACGAAAGAATAAAGCAAAAAATGAAACAGTTGCCATGGTGGAATGAAATTAAAAAAATGAAAGAGTCGCCAGGCATGAATGAAACAGAATAAATTTCATTCTTGTCAGTAGAAATGAAGAAAAAATTGAGATGAAATGAAATGAAACAAAAAGTATTTCATTCTCGACGGCAATGAATGAGAATGACTTGGAATGAAACAGGTGCCGTGAATGAATGAAAATTCATTTCATTTCATTCACGGTAGTTAAGCAGGAACTTCTATGGTACATGCCAGGTTTTACATGATGTAAATGGCAGCTACTAGTGATGTGTGCCGTGATCCTGGGGCTGCAAACGAGGTAAGCGAGAGGGGGGTGATGACGGGCCACAGCATGGGCGCTGTTGCGTGCAAACGACGTACGTGGTGTGGGTGCCGCATTCATGTGGTATCCAGCGTGTGCCGTGATCCTGGGGCTGCAAACGAGGTAAGCAAAAGGAGGTCATGACGACGGGGTGGGCACTCACCATTTGACAGCGCCCATGCCGTGGCATGGGCGCTGTCGTGTGCAAACGACATACGTGGTGTGGGCGCCGCATTCGTGTGGTGTCCTGGCTCACCAATCTGACAGCGCCCACGACTGGGCGCTGTCCCTCGTTTCTTTGTTGGCTTCGTTCTGCATGCCGCTTTGGTGGCTTGGTGACATGGCGGCGAGAGGCATCGAGGATGACGTGGCGTGGCAACGAGAGGCGTCGAGAGGTGTCGAGAGTGACCGACACCACCGCCGACGTTGTGGAACATCAGCGGTGGTGCGTCGGGGGTGGTAAAGGATGGGTAGTGGTGGTGGTGGAAGAGAAGGAGATGGTCACACAGGTGTGACCTGCTTGCAAACAACAAACATGATGCTTTGGGGTGACGTTTGAACCTCACGGGTAAGTCACGTGACACAACCCTGCAGACTGAACAAAATGCTCAATCCTTGTTTCATCTAAGACTTAACTTTACTTACATCTAAGTACTACAAAATTACTAGTCTTTCAAATGCTATGTTTACATCACTGTTTTATGACATTTTCGCTTTTTTGTCTATTATTAATTAATAATAACAGTCAATCTATTAATGTTCCATTCAGTCCAGTCCAGTGGACTCCACTGGACTGCCACTGGACTCCTAACATTGGTATAATGTTTGTTGTAATTCAGTCAATAGTCCAGTGGACTCCACTGGACTCCACTGGACTCCACTGGACTTTGACTGGACTCTGAAAAGTGGCTTGCAGTCCAGTGGGAGTCCAGTGGACTGGACTGGACTGGACTGGACTGGACTCCAGTGGACTGGGCATTCTGCCAGCCAATCTGGCCTGGTAAGAGGGCCACTGGAATCCACTGGAGTCCACTGGAGTCCACTGGAGTCCACTGGAGTCCATATGGATTACGTGGGGGAGGGTAAAGACCTCGCTTTCGGTTCAGACCTCCTCAGGCCCAATACTATAACAATGTCAACATTCACAATGAAGACAAACACAACACATATCTGGAAGACTATCACCATCCGGTTCGGATGGACAACCAACACCTCTGACTTCCTCCTCAATTTTCAGGCCAACACCCATGTCAATATGGGCCATCTGGCTTTGGTGGAAGAGGATGTGGTGGCTGCTCCCAATATTGAGCATATGCTCATCCATATGAGTTTAGTGGGTACTATGGGCAAGGCCATGAAGGCTTTGCTGGTTATGGCCATCAGAGGTTGGGATGTGGGCCTTTCAAAAGTGGTGATGACTCTGACTGATTCTCAGAGGGTAATCTGCTACGTAGACAATACTCTGGTGAGGGCCATGGTTTCTGAGTGTTTGTCATTGGATTGGGAGCTCAATTGCATCTTTACTGTGTGTATCATCTTTACTCTTTGTTTCTGGTAAACAGGGTTACACCAGACTTAGAATAGTTCTGGTAGACAAGGCAACACTGTACATAGCATACTTTATTTCTGGTAGATAGAGTATGTCGTGGACTCTTACTTAGTGGTTTCTGGTAGACTTTGCTTTGTCATACTTGTATTTCAGGTAAATATAAGTATTTGCTGGCCTTCTACTTTGTTTGCCGATAACAGGGCTAAGGCTGACTTATACTTGTTTTTTGGTATATGGAGTTTACTTGTGGTGCAAGCTAAGGTGGACTTATACTTTTTTCTGGTATATGGAGTATACTTGCTAAGCTGATCTGAATCTGGCTGGCCTTGTACTGTTTCTGAGAATGGGGCTAAGCCTGACTTAGCATACTTTTTTTGTGGTTAACTTGGGGTACAAGCTAACCTTACCTAATTATTGCTGGCCTTCTACTGTGTTTCTGAAAAAGGGGGCTAAGGCTAACTTAGCATACTTTTTGGCTGGTATATGGAGTATACTTGGGGAACAAGTTGACCTTACCTGAATATTGCTGGCCTTCTACCGTGTTTCTGGAGAGTGGGGCTAAAGCTGTCTTAGCATACTTTTTTGGGGGGGTATAAGTGGATGCATACAGAATTTTTCTCTCAAATGTCTTCAGTTGTCAAATTCAATGAATGATATCAATTAAGTTCAAACAGAGCCTCTCTGATTGGATTGGATGGGTATGGTTTGGGGGTATAAACAAGAATGGTATGGTAGATGTGAGCTAGATTGACAGAATCCATTGCACTTTTCGGAAGTTTCTCTTACAATAGTCTAGTTTATGTTTTGTATGGTAGCTTGATGCCCTTCAGAATGGCCTGACACATGTTTTGGAAGGATAGAAATAATTGCAAGAGCTTAATTTTTGTTTGAAGTCAGAAGTGAGCCCCAGCATGGGAACATAACATGATGGGACATTGACAGAAATTATCACACTTTTTGAATTGTCTCTTACAATAGTCTAGTTTATGTTTTGTATGGTAGCTTGATGCCCTTCAGAATGGCCTGACACATGTTTTGGAAGGATAGAAATAATTGCAAGAGCTTTAATTTTGTTGTAAGTCAGAAGTGAGCACCAGCATGGGAACATGATATGATGGGACATTGAAAGAATCTATCACACTCATTGGAATTATGCCTCAGAAGACTCTGGTTTATAATTTGTATGGTAGCCTGATGACTTTCAGATGTGTTATATTCTAAGCCCTCTGGCCCACATTCTCCTTTCCTAGACTAGGGGTTTCTGTGAGTTCTAAGTGATTACTAGTTTACTCTTACAATGTTGATGCGGGTGAAACATATTCAACTGTATAAAATCCGATTTTCGCGATTTTACCATTAAAATGGTCTTCTCTGTACATACACTATATACAGTTGCAATGATATAAGAGTCTTTGAACATACCCAGTTCAGTAGACTAAAAGTGCATATGTGTCGAGTCTGAACATAGGACTAAGGCCTTGGAGCTGGCAGCAGTATGCGCCGTGACATTATACTTGGGGCCTATCTAGGATTCACCCACCATGAAATAGAGTATAAAGAAGCTCTAGAGTAAACCACCCAACACAGGGACAAGAATGCATTACTACCAAGGGTTTTATCCTGCGATAATACTTCCAAGACTTCTAGAAGATAAACTACATGTGGACATTATGAAATAATGTTCTACTACTAGAAAGACTATACTGCGACTATGTAGTATATGTACAAGGACCAAGCGTGGCTTGCGGCCATGTAAAACGTCAAGTACGGCAATACCCGTGTACACATCAAAGAGTGATGTGTTGTATCGTCCAAGACATGTGATGCACAAACCTGGAAAGACATTAGGTAATCCATCCTGGAGACCCCCTGATAATTAAGAAAGTCATTTGAAGCTCTTCGGAGTGCCATCCGATCTCCATATGATAACAGAAACCGTGCCGAGGTATTTTAAATTAACGACCTCCGGAAATAAAGAAGCCGGCAGTGTGTCTGCATATGTATCAAACACATCAGCATGCCCATCACTGAAATGACATGATATGTCAAATTAGTAGCCAAGCCCATGATAAAGAAGCATGCGGAACTGGTCCGGACTAGATATAATTAAAACCGGATTGTTCCGCATACACATCAAACACTGATGTGATTGACAAAGAAAAGATACCAACACTACAAAAACTGTAGTGTACCACAAGAGAGATACTATAAACTATACCACACGATCATTAAAAAGCTATTTGTATTTCGGACCAATACATAACCGTAGAAAACACATGTAAAAGCATAGATAGGGGTTTTTGGAGTATATAAGGAGCGCACTGGCAGGTCAAAAGGAAGGAATCGTCCCCCGTTGACCAGCTAGTTGCACTCCAAGTAGAGACTTAGGAGGTGGACAGTTGTAATCAATTAAAGGAGATTTCTTTGTGGTCAGAAAAGTACAGTGTGAACGAAGCCAGCGTGCTTGGGAGTCAACTTACTTGGAGACTTGAATAAGAGGTTTTAAGCACAGTATCATTTAGACGAGACAGCATACTTGTATCACCAGTTTTGGAGTGTAGTGACATAATAAAAAGCTCAAGGGAGTTATAAAAATCCGATAAATCCGTGTTTCGTGTCAATAAAGAAAACTGTGTTCAAGAACTTTACATTTGAGCAACCAGGTTCCCCGAAAGACATACTTTGTTCTATTGAACTATTCTAATACCACACCCAATAATAAAACCCTGTTTTGAGACGAAAACTCTTGAGACTTAAACCTAAGAAGACAAAAGTGGTATTTCTTAATACCAAAGGCCCTCGAACTTGTGCACTGAGATTGTGATAGTGTGTGTGTGTGTGTGTGTGAGAGTGTTAAGGTGTTTAGGGTTTTCCCGATGCGCTTGATCCTTGTTTGCGTATTTCGCACTTTCACGGCAATGGTATGGTAGGATCCCTGGACTTTGGTATGATTCCAATGCCTTGGTATGGTTGAACTCCATTCATATGGTATGATTCCATCTCTATGGGATTATTCCAATGGTATGGTATGGTATGGTATGATTCCATGTCTATGGTATTATTCCAACAGTGTGGTGTGGTATAATTCCATCACTATGGTATTATTCCAACAGTGTGGTGTGGTATAATTCCATCACTATGGTATTATTCCAACAGTGTGGTGTGGTATAATTCCATCACTATGGTATTATTCTAACAGTGTGGTGTGGTATAATTCCATCACTATGGTATTATTCCAACAGTGTGGTGTGGTATGATTCCATCACTATGGGATTGTCCCAATGGTATGGTATGGTATGCTTCCATCTCCATGGTATTATTCCAATGGTATGGTATGGTATGATTCCATCACTATGGTATTATTCCAATGGAATGGTATAGTATAATTCCATGTCTATGTGATTATTCTGTTCATATGATATGATCCCATTCATATAGTCTGGGGTAGGAGGTGCATATGCCAGGGTGTACTATTGAGAGGTAATGACAAGATCAAGATGTTAGCATGGTTGCATTGGTGTGTAGAGAGTCAGTGCATCCTCAAAAAGGAACAAAGGCAAAGGACAAAACAATACAATATAGCTGATTATGTGGAAAAGTTGATTACAAAGTGATTTTTGTAGATGCGGGCAAAATACATGTCAGATTGTTGGAGGACTGTCTAAGGCAACTACTGACCTTTTGTAGAAAACATGCACATCAACCCAAGTCAAATAACTGGGGGGAGTCTCCAATGGCAAATCATCATTGATCCTGCAATTCTCCTATAAGTGCCTACACACATATTAATCAAGAAACATTTTATTGTGTTACACAACTGTGTAACATTCGAACTTGAGCCTCGCAACATGTGCATATAGTGTTGTACTTTTCTTAACATGTAGAGCCCTGTTGATATTTCTTGAGGTGCAGAGCGTGGGTTCCATAAACATTTTGTTACATTACATTCAAACTTGAGCCTTGCAATATGCACATATAGTGTTAAACAGTTCTTGAAATGTGAATCCCTGTTGATATGTCTTAAGGTGCAGAGCAGGTATAAGATTGGTTGGTTGGCCCAAAGCCAAGCCTGTTAGTGATATGTTTGTGTTCTATAGTATGACATTATTATACTATCAAGAAGTGCACAAACATGCATTTCTGGAACAAAGTGATTGGATGTAATAGAGGTGAAGGCAAAATAGTTGTTAGCCCTCACATGAAATTGCCTTGGTAAGTGGCTTGTGATGGATACTATGAACGGCTTGCATAAATGCTATTTGAGCTGATTTTAATAGATTTCTGCTGGCTTTTGAGAGATGAAGATAGCTGCCAATTGTAGCTCAAAATGTCAGAAGAAATATGAAGAGTCAGTCCACCAAAAAATGGAG